TCATTATTATTATTATTCTATGCACTCACTTATGTTGGCTAGTCCATGGAAAGAAGGAACAACAAAAAAAATCTTATCGTCATCATCATCATCACCATCGCCTTCGTATTGCCTGAGTTTATAATACAATAATCATCGTTCGTCGGTATAAATCATCCCACAAGAGTTAAAGTTTCTTTTTTTTCTTCTGTTCGCTGTAAAAACGATTTCAATGCGTTCAATGGCAATGTGTGCATTGGTGGTGGTGTGTTGAGTATATACACGCAACGCATGAGATAACGTTTTTTACTCCTTATGCATGGTTTTAAAAATCGAAATGAGCCGTGAATCGTTTTTATGTGTCTGGTCTAGTTCTCGTCCGGTTTTATTGAGACGCATGCATGAAGAGTGGAGAAAAAAAAGAACTGTAATTTCCCATGTTTAAAGGGAAAAATGTAATTATTTGAATCGTCTGCTCGTTTTGACTCAATGTGATAGCAGTCCATTTAATCTTCTTTTTTTTATTTCATTGTATCAAGAACATCGGGCAATCAAATTGGACAAATGCTTGAAACACCAACAGTTTATACGATCACGCAATTAGAAAAACTTTTGATTATTCGTTGTTTTTTTTTCGTTTCGTTCATTTGTTTACTCGGCTCAGGTTTTGTGTGTCAATAAATTGACGTAGACAGACATGCAGTGGGCTGCAAAGTCATTATTAGAACAGTTCAAGTTAGAACATTTTGTATATTTATGCCATGATAGAAATCCATTAAACATATCGACCCAATTTGTCAATTTCCAGCAAAATAAAAATCTTTTAATTAAGTAATGCATTTTTTTTCTCTCTCTCTCAAATTGCGCACTGCATCTCATTTACATTATGAGTTTGAAAATCAAGCTTTGCGGCTATGCTGTTGTCGTTTTTTTTTTTGCGTTGCGGCTGCTGGCTCAATCGATGCGATTCCAATATAAATACCGTTTTGTTGGTGGCGTGTGAGAAATGCATAATTTAATTCACGGTCATCGGTTTTACAACGACTTTACAACAAAATCACCGTGGCCCCATTCAAGTGATCGCTTGAACCATGCCTCTTTTTCTCGCTCGCATCATTTCGCTTTTCAGCTTTATTCAATCAACCGCGCGTCGTCAATTACACTTTTTTATTTCTGTTGCACTCGCTATACGTTCAGAAAATCAGCACAACTGATTTATTTCTGCTCTCTAACAGATGAACGAAAGAGAAAGATAGAAAGCGTTTATCTCAAATTAGTGTGATTTTCTTGTCGCAATTTTGTTTTTATTCATGTTTTATCTCGCTCAAACGACAGGTCGAATGATAGAGACATTCAGATGTATATTGGGTGTCGCGAGCATGCGAACAAATAAAATATCATTTTACTATGGAAATTTGCATTTCTTTCGTATCGTCAGCATTTATTTGGTAATGCGATGAGCAACGGTCAATTCGTGATCTTCATTTATGACCCGCATTCATCTTTTTCTTTCATCCAATTCCCTTCGTTACCATTTTCGGTCAAAATCGATCCGTGTGCATACATCAATTTGATGGATCGTTCAACGAAATAGCCGAAAAATGCAAAAATATGTATTCGGCGAACAAAAACAACGGTCGCTTCGAAACACACAGAGACAAAAAAAAACAACACACCACGAGCTTGGACGAAAAAGGCGCGTCAAAATAAATAAAAATAAAACAAAACGGTGTGTGCATATGTACTGCTGCTGCTACTGCTGCTATTGCGGCTGTCATTTTTTCTTTCCAGCGACGTCGTCGATGCGTAGTTCGTTTCGTACAATTTTATGCGAATAAAATGAGTTTAAGCCCAGAGAAAAAGAGAGAGAGAGAGAGAGAGAGAGAGAGAAAAGAAAAGAAAACGATGAACAACAAAACGGCAACGGCTGTATACGTTCAGTATAATCATGTTAACCCTGACCCAAAAATTGTCCGTTTTGCTGTTGTTTTTCATTATAATAATCGATGCGTTTTGTGTATAATGTGGTTCGAGTATTTATTTATTTATATCAGTGGAAGTCTCGTCATCGTTTCAGTTCAAGCGACATACGCCCTCCGTCGCTGCTACTACTTCTACTTTTTTGTCGTTGTTGTTTCTAAAAAACAAAAAATTGCTTACTGTTCAGAACTTGCACTCTGCCGCCTGCAAAGTTGATTCAATACAAAGACGTCTCACATTGTATTGTACACAGGTGTGTGCTGTCTCCGTTGAATGTGACGCTGATGTAATATGTACACATTGTCTACTAGTTGCAACTGAAAATGAGCAACTGCAAATGCGACTAATGCACAAATAACAAACAATAAATTAAAGTAAAACGCCAAACGTCAACCGCTAAACATTTGTCATCGACAATTTTCAAGTGATGCAATAAATTGAATCGGTGGCCGGCTATAAGCATCATTCACGCTAACAATTGACATGAAATTCGCGAAGCGCCCAAACTCATCATAGGCAGCATCGTTCAAATTCTTCGATTATCAGAAGGCATTGCGCCCGAATACATGTGCCATCCGAAAACAGACGGTAATGACAAAGCCGTCCAACAACTACAACCGACCGCTCAATACTTTGCACCACAAGCGCAACAACAACAGCAGCGAAAAAAATAACTGAAAATTCATGCCAAGACCAAGGTGAATAAAAATACTCACTGAATATTTAAACGTTTTTTTTTTTTTGCTGGTATGTGTGGTTGCATGCCGCTGTCTTATTTAAACATGTGTTAACGGACCCAATTGTTGTCCGCTTTATGAGTAAGCCGCAAGCCGCACTTGTGTTCTGCGATAATAGTATAGTCGCAGCAAGAAAATGAAACGCTCAATGTGTTCTAGTATTGCACAGTGCGAAAACGCAAAACTATTTAATTGGCGGTGCACAGATTGTTCGGCTTGCGATCTAAGCCGTAATTAATACACCTAAATTCTCAATGAATAATTGCTATGCCGTTGACGATTTCTTCAAACCATATTCGTTGGGCATTAATTACGACGATCAATGATTAGGATAGAAATAGACATGCTGGACAGCGAAACGAACGAAACAAACGAAAAACGGTCAAAAATGAGGTAAAGTTCAACATTTAAATTTTGCATACTAATTTTGACATTTGGTCAATCATTTTCATGCAAATGATTTGGGCCAAATTTGTGATTGCACGCGCTCAACGTTAAATCCCGTTTTTATCATTTCGATCAACTGATAGAGCGGAAAAAAAAACCAAATTTACATTTTTTCGCAATTATTTGCCACGATCTAATCCAGTATTTCATTGCCAAAACTCATCCGAACAAAATGATACCTAAACGCTTCGTTTCGCCTGGTGGTGAGGCAAAAAAAATAAAAATAAATCTAGAACAAAAAATCGCTAACTTGTTCTGATTGCCAAAGTTGTTTGCGCTCGTTCTGAATTCTAGAACGCTGATTGATTTGTGATCACGATCTCACATATATGCGAATGAACGAACACGATTACATTGAAACACGTCAACTAATCGAATTGCTAATTGATCGTGGGTCAATACACATTTTATGCAATCGCCTTATTTTTTTTCTCTTCTTTCTTCATATATCCACATGCATGCTCGCCATATATACGAATGCAAAAGCGTCAATCTGCTGAGCTAAATATTATCGCATTTGGAGATGAAGTGTGAATTACACATGTGACCGTCACACGGTAAATATGCTGGACGGTTTGTTTTTCAGTTTTAATTTTTCGGTGAACCGATCATAAAACGGGTCTCCTCTATTAACACTTTTGGAACATCACCAGTTACATTTTGGCGACTGTGGATGTTTGCGATCGATATTGATGCAATCGCATTTATATAATTTGTGCGTGTTTGTCATTTTTGCAATGATAAAAAGAAATGCCAGTAATGGTGAAAGTGAAATTTTTCGGTCATAAAACTTGATGAATTTTCCGCAGCAAACCGGATTATAGTATTATTTTCGTTGGAATTCTCCGGTGTGCTCTTCAGTGCTATGAAAGAAAATGTCGACTATGAACCGTTTTGACACAAATGCCTTTGCGATTTGCAATGGAAGAGATAACATTTAGATTGTGAACAGTAGAAATTGGTAAATCGGTCGTTTCTTTGGATGGGTTCAATATCACACCTTTTGGTGAACAAAAAAATCATTTTGCGTTGCCATTGACGCAAAGTCAACTGACTTTCTTTGATGGCATTTTTCGAAGAAGAAAAAAAAAACAAATTTATTGCCTTCGTTTAGAAAAAAGAGTCGCAGGTACCCGCAAAATGTTTCCCACATACATCGTGTGACCGAACTAAGCGAACGATGACTTTAGGTAATCAAGTCATTTATTTAATGACTCTGTAATTCATCCCACGATCAGCAATATCATTTTGATGGTTTTCTGACAACTGGCAAAAGAACACATACAGCGTTCATTTGAATGATCTCCGGAATGTATTGACAAATCCAAACTGAAATCAATGCTTGGAAACATTTCGAATGGAAAGAAAGTCGAGTTAAAACTTGTCTTTTTCCCCCACTACTTTGCGTTTTTTTTCTGTCGATTCACTACAAGATGATTTTCAACATCAAAACGATAAACGGTTGATGGAACGAGTTCTGATGCGAGGGTGTTTGCATTCTAAATGAAAAGGGTTCGTCGTTTTCACTTTGAAAAAGTCGTTGAATGCATTTGAATCTTTTGTTTCGTTGGATTAACCAACCCACGCGCATTGACCAATCAATTTTTCTGCTGGCAAATTGATGGCATGACTAATGACTTCCCCATAATCCGTGAATCATTTTTCGAATGATTTAAATGCGACAGGAAAAAAAGTTGTACATGAATTGACACATCGAATTAAGCTAACTGATGAAATATAAAAAAAACTCAATCTCTGAAGTGGTGCGAATCCGTATATAGACAAAGATGATGCAGAACCGAAAATAAAATAACAATAGCAACAAGAGAGAATAAAATAAAAAGCGTATTTACTTACCAGAATCATTGTAATCTCGATCTCTGTTGCGTGAAACCAAAGACAATGGTTCATTTTGTCCATCACCACTGTGACTATCGTCCTCGTCACGATCGCCTAGCCCCAAATCATTTTTAGCGGCTAACAAATTCTGTGACTCGAGCAATCTCAACTGCTGTTGATGCAAGCGATTCTTGATCAAAAATATTTTCGGCATTTTGTCGTCTGTTTATTTTGTTTTCTTCAGATAAAAACCAATGATTATTATTAATCAAATGTTCGTTTTTTTTTTCGGTTGTTAGGTCCAAGTCTCTTTATAATCTGTTTCTCGTTCGAATTCCCTTTTTTTTTGTTTAATCAAATAAATGATTCACACACTAGGAATGATCACAATATCCCCATATAGAATGAATAATCCACAGTTCGGGATAGAAAGCCACTTAACCAGTCGAAAAGTGTTTATTTATTGCGTTTCAGCTAAATTTGAATAGTTTCTTCTAAGAATATCGTGGTCGTCGTTTATTTATTTCGTTATTTTGTTTTCAATAACTTGTTTTTGCTTACACTTTCTTCTACTCTGGCAAATTGTTTTTTTTTTCTTCTGTGAATAAAATGCCAAGTTTATCACCAGTTACACATTGGATTTGAGTTTAAAGTACTTGAACAATGACATTTTGTGTTAACTGCACTGTTTTCGATTGAGTTCAATGTGATCTTCATTTAGTTGATCTTAAAAACTTGAATAATCCCATAAGGTTGATAAATCCTGTCAAGTTGATTGTAGTTGTTGTTATTAATTCGCACCAAAAAAAAAATCTGTTGAGTTTTTTTTTTGCACAATTTTATCAATTGAATTTCTAAAAAATTCAAAGTTCTTTTCTCAATGTCCATGAAAAAAACGGAAAAACCTTGCTCGATAAATTTTTTTTTTTTTTGGGGGAAATAGCAAAGTATTATATTCTCTTGGATTCTTGAGTAAAACCGTTAAGCGAAAGACCGAAAATAAAAACACGCGTAGACTCTTCAGCTATCCAACTCCTAATGTACACAGTTGTTACCTTGCAACACTTTACAGCTATCTTTTCCACTGCTTGGCTCTTCGCCGTAGCGCTGCCAATGCTGCCGTGTGTGTCGTTTTCACGATCAACATCACAAACGGTATATAACGGCCCATGCGATGGTATTTGTGTTAAAAATATAGAGAGAAAAAAAGTATACAGGTAACAATAGTATACCTGAAGCAGCAACACACATCACACAACATACACTTCCTACGTATGATTCGTACGAGATACGTACCGATGACGAGATATATATATATCAATGTGTACGATCGTTACTCTTCACCTCTAGAGTCCGACACACAAAAGTCTGAATCGAACGTAGCCAACGTACTCACACACACATACACACACAAACAAATACATATGCATACGTCGCAAGCGAAAAAATTTTAAGCTTGTGCTGGTTCGATTTTACTGGTTGAGAGAGCGAGCGGTGCTTTCGTTCGTTTTAAGCCGCCTGTACCCAGGCATTTCTCTATACATGAACGAAAAACAACCGAACAATGCGAACGTCTGTATGAATGATGTATCCAAAGAACATTGAAGAAAACGACTACACACCAGCGGTGAACAACAACAGCAACAGCACGAGGTGAAACAACAACAATAACAATACGAAGCAAACGGCAAAACGTTGCTGCTCAGAATCGAACCAAAAACCTGGAGAATAATAACAAAAGCATAGTTCAGGTAACACAAAAACGCTACACAAAGCACATAGCATACACACGGCTAGCTGTTAATACACATACCTCTGTGTCTCATGCAGATCGCTTACACATAGCGCTGCTGCATTGGCCCCGACGTTTTGCCGTCTCTTTTGCTCTCGCCTTCTTTACTACGAGTACCGATCGTTCATCGTTTGCTCGGCATAACGAAGACGAAACAGAAGAACAAAAATAAAAATGAATAAGCGTAGTACAGCTAGATCACCGTACTTACATACTTATACCACACTGACGGATCGCCGCCACAACAAGACCTAGAAAGAGAATACAATATACAACACAGCAGTGCGAATATATCGCGGCGCGCGCACAGCCGATAGATGAGCATACATATTTAGACACACAAACCTACCTACACACACTGGTGTGCGCTTCCCCTACTCTCTATCAACGAGAGAAAAAAAAAACTTGATCGTACATAGCCGTAGCGTGAAGAGCACGGCAACGAAGCAGAAACCAAAATAAAAAGAGAAAAAGAAAAAAACAATAACAAGCATTCTCGCCGATTTATTTCGCGTTTTTCGAAGATTGTGCGAAGCGCGATGGCTGAAGAATCATTCTTTTCAGAATGATCAGCGCGCTGTCGTCGTTGATGCCGTCGTTGTTACTGTTATTGTTGTTGTTTGGCCGTCGTTTCTTTCTCGTCTTTTTTGTCTATCTTTCTCTCCTCTTTCTTTGATTCGCTCACAACAGCAACCGTGCGCTGGCAATAAATAAATTTCAATAAAATATATGTTCCAGTAAATGAATACAGCAGAAAGAAAGAAAGAAAGAATGAAAAACAGAGCCCAACTCGCGCTCGACAAACTGAAACGGTATACGGTGAGCGAATAAAATAAAAACAAGTCATGCTAATTGCGAAAACGAATAAAATATCGCGTAATATATAGTATAATATAATGTATATATATAACGTAATATAGTCTCTCTTCCCATGTGTGTATACGCATACGTTGCTTCTCATCGCTGCTTCGTGTAACAATAAATATTTTCGATCTCATCATGCATGCGCGGCGGCACTCAACAATCTCGCTCGCACAAACACAGCTCAAGCAGCAGCACCAACAGCTCGCACACAAGTCGCGATTCTATATCTCTCTGCGATGCTATTGGACACTGGAGAACGCACGACAAAGCCAAATGAAATTAAAATCAACACATCGAAATGGAATACACAACCAATGAGATCATTCTTTTTTTAGTCAAAGCAAGTTTTTTGTTCTCGCTCACTGGATTTTGACGTGCACAAATAACGGTGAAAAAATGAAATCACCAACAATTAATTTCGAGTATGGCTGTTATTTCTGCTGTCGCTGTTGCTGCTGTTGTGGTTCCTGCTCACTCCAATCAAGCTCATTGCATGCGAATACCTATATCGAATATGACTGCTCTTTTTTGCTGCTGCCTTTCTGATGCTTTATTTTCGGTTTCTTTCATAACTTTTTTTCTCTCTCTCTTTCTCTCTCCTCTCTCTCTCTCTCTCTCTCTCTCTCTCTCTCTCTCTCTTCATCGGATTAGAGCATATGAGATGATGTACCGCAACGACCTTACAGCCTCAATCACTTAATCATTACAGTTGTATTCGAAAAAATCGAAATGAAATGAAACAATTTTTAAAGCGTCATTCAGCAACGTATTTCCTCCTTATGAAATTCGAAATTCTTGAAATGCTCGCTTGTGGTTTCCAATAAAACATTTATTAAATTTATTTCACAGTAGAATATGAATCAGGTTTTAATTTCCATCCAAAAAACAGTTAATATTATTTATAGGTGAGCGATACGTAGCAAAAACGAAGGATACAGAAAAAAAACTACCACCAAAATAAATTTCGTTTATTCATTCTTTGACGTCAAGATTAATGAAATTCAATTCACTTGTTCACAATTGTGTGCGGAATATTACCAGTTAAATGGAATCTCTCTACCTCTCTCTCTGTGAATGATTCATAGTGTGATGCTTATATTTACTTTTCGCAAGTGTTAAGAGCATTTTACGCTAGGCTGATGTTACCTGTTGAACTCATTGTGTGCTGCTCATTGAGCTCATCATACATTCTTGTTTACACATAAATTTCGTCTTGATTTCATTTCTCCGTTCTTAATCTATTCAATCCATAGTCCAGAGTTAGTTCTCAAAAAACTCTTTCTTTTCTTCTGTTTCTCTTTCCATACCTAAGTTATGCATTGAAATTCACCAAACGAAACAATTCGCCAACGGAGTTGAGCTCTACAGTCTCGTATGAGTAAGCCAACTCGGACACCATGCGCTGGCGAGCATTATGTGTGGCTTTCTTGGAGATCGAGTTGAATTTTGTGTACTGTAGTGTTGCACGCTTAGAATCTGTGCTTAGTGATGTGTACATGTATGTGAGCGTGTGAGCGTGTACGTGTCTGTGTTGATGAGTTGTGCAAACGCACCAAAATGAATGGAATAGAGCGAGAGAAGAGAGTGTGCAGAGAGTGGCTAATTTTCTTCTTTCGTCTTAAAACTTGTTATTTCGTTGAAAACCAGTTCTTATTCTTTACCTCTTCTTCGGTGCGGTTGTTGTTGTTGTTGCTTCTTTTTCATATTGAAAATACATCACATCACTTTTTTTCCTTTCACATCTTCTTGTGGCCGTGTGTGTATAGTACTTTTGCTCATTCTGGCACTTTTGATTTGGTATCGTGCTTGCTCTGCGTTGCTTTTCTTTCTCATTTCATTTCGTTTTTATTCTTCAGTTTCTTGCGTTTCTTTCTTCGCATTGTCTTCGATCCATTCTGCTGCTGCTGCTGCTGTCGTTGTTGCAGCACAGATTCCACACACGATTCTTTAAGAAATCCGCGAAGGTCTGACACAGACCACGAAACCGTTTTGTATCGCGCGACTGCGACAATAGGTTAAAGCGACGAACATAAAAGCAAAATTCAAAAAGAAGAAGAAGAAGAAGCGAAGAGAAGAAAGAAAAAAAATTGTAATTTTGTTTTCCTGTGAACTTGCGAGAGCGAGCCGAGATCGATGTGGTTGAGGTTGGAAATGAGCGACGCGGTATTCGTGAGTGCGCCTGCTTTATGATCGTGGATGTGTGCTTTGAATACTGATTCGATGCGATTCCAAGCAACAATGGATTGCGCAAGTCGCCCCGGGTACTCGGCCAAAAAGAAGATGAAGGCAGCGTTTCGTGGCAGTTTCAAGCCATATTTACTCTTTTGGTTGCATTCATTTGCCGTATACATTTATTATTTCTCTTGGTTCGTGGTTGGTTTTGACTGTTGCCTACTCGTGCACTGCGATGACAACGGCAACAGCGTTTTTTTTAACTGATCAATGTTTCACTTTGAATTCCTGAATTTGATTCAGTTGATTGCGGTGAAGGCCTAGGTTAAAAATACATACGCTTACTGTACTCAATATATTCGCTTTTTTTCACCATCATCATCATCATCGTTGATTTGTGTGCTATTCGCCTTTGCCAATTGACAACTACGCCACTGTTTACTCTCTACTTAACATGCTTAACACATTTTATTTAAATATTCGCAACCCGTATGAAGCCCAAAAAGACACACACATTTTTCGATTCATTTAAAATGAGAAGTAGTCGTGCGCGTTGCGTTGAATTTTTTAAAATAAGAATTTAGCAGAGCCCAACTATTCCTATGAAATGTGCTGTGTATGTGTGTTTGTGTGCTGCGGCCAGATTTTTAATATGTTTGCTCGATTTGATCGTTTTCCACATGAAAAAAAAGACAACAACTTAAAATTGCTGGACGGAATTCCAAATTGATCGAGACCCAAACATACTTTATTTTCGGCAAGGAAATTTAATCACGAATTCACAACTTATTTACTTCGTGGAATATTCTATTTTTGGCTTCCGATGGGGCTAGAACCAACGATTTTTTACTTTAATTTTTTTTTCGGCAACTTAAATTGCTCGCGAGTACAAAGTATTATTCACTTGACCTGTGATCTTGTTCGTTATTTTCTGCGCAACATTTCCAACTTTATATCGTTCAAAAAAACCTGTTTTCTTATTCAAAAGAACTAACCCATTGAAATCGTTTTGTAGAAACACAAAGTTTAGTATTGAAAAAGAGAGGAAAAAAAACAACAATGAACACGAGGCTTCGCGTTTCTTATTATTATTATTACTATTGGTGTTGGTTTTGCATTAACCAAATCAAAGTACGATGAAGCGATATACTGCCGACGCCTTCTAATTATTACGTCTGTTTACTGTAAATTTCCACTTCACTCTCTGGGTCTAGAAGTGAGAGAAGAACACGAAAAATATGTGACGAAACTTCACTCTCGTCATGTGTAACATTCGTTGACGCGCACACGCTCGCGCTCACTCCAATGGCATGCATGAATCACATCGCGCTTTCAACGAAAAATCCAGCGGTTCCGTTCGGATTTCGCTGTTTATTCCCATTGTTTGTCGGGTCGGTTTTT